ACTTGGCTTACACATGAAACCACCCTTTCTTACCTTATACACGTGTTGGACCTCTAATCAGGTCCCCGACAGTCTTGACTTTTGTACCTGCAGTATTGTTGTACATACCGGAAAGCTGGCAAATCAGAATTTGTGCTCAGTGTAGTTTTCATTTTAGTATTTCTTGTTCATTTAACTCTTTGGGTTTTTTCCTTTGGTTACAAAATCTCCTATAGGATTCTATAAGGGCAATAGCAATTCAAGGTAGGTATCAGTTTACATTCAGGAAGAAGCTGTTTTTCCTAAAATTCTATCTGAAAAACCAGAGGCTGACTTTACAGAGCTCATTTATAATTTTAACAATATGGTACATCTCAGTTTAACTCTAATTATTTTTGTTATTGCTTCCATAAGAGTTAGTTTTGCTTTTTGATAGATTAAAATAAATTAGAACTGTTAAAATAATTGCACACATTACCTTCCTATCTAGATCTAGAATTACTTTTCAGCAGTTGCTCTTTATTTAGCAGCATCAAAGACCGTGAGAGAAGACAGATTCTTTGTTACTCTGAACTACTACTGATCATGCATTTGACACTTCAGTCTATGCATGGAGAAGCATTTGGGGATATTTGCATACTAAATAAGGGGAAGAAGGCTGTTTTCATGGGTAAGAAATCACATCAGAGATCTCACCTAATGAAGCCTAAGATGGAAGCCAAGTTTTCTTGAAAAATTGCCTATTAGGAACTGTGCCTCCATTCCTAATCTGTAAATTTAATATAATACCACCTCCCTTCTGTCCTGTGCATTCAGATTTTAAATTCTTTGGACAGGGACAACATATAATGTACAATGCCTAAAACAGTGGGCCCTCATCTTGACTGAGGTCTCTAGACATTACTGCAGCACAAAATTTAATAAGGATAAGGGAGATCAAATACTTCTCAGAACATGAAGAAAGGTTGACTTTGGCTAGTTATCAACATCTTCCCACCACGTTGATTGTCTCACAGTGGACACACTCAGCAGTTGCTCTTTCTTTCTGAGTCTTTCCTCTAATCCCCCCTCATTTCTCCCATTTCATTTTCAGTCAGTTCAAGATCCTAACGTCCTTGCCAACTTATTTTTAATGGGATTGTTAGTATCCAGGAAGCCTTGTCACAATCATTATGCAGCTTCTTTGAGGGCCCCTGTGGTTGCTGCCACTTGTTTTTCACTTTTTTCCCCCTGTTACCAGAGAAAATATTTTTCTAACTGGCAAAACATCAAATTAACAACATGTTGGGTTGACCCTCTCCTCTATATTTGTCTGAACATGTAGCTGTTCCCTCTGGCTAATGGTCCCATTACTGACATGGTTGCTTCATCTTTGGCAGCTCAGATTTATACATTAGCTAAGCAAGGGGGTGTTTGTCAACCCTGTCTTGAGAAACAAAATCAGCTCTGTCAGCTACAGGATAAACATTAACCTGTTGCTTTGTTTCCTGATTAGGAGAGAGGGCCATTTTAAATCAGGTGATTAGCTCTTATCTAAGAGGAAGATTTTCCACCACCTACCATCCAAATTCAAATCTGTTCACTAGTTTGAGCTGTACTTAATGGGGTGCATGGATGTGTGTCTCTATGTTATTAAATCTCAAGGATCTTTGTCGCTGCTACAGATATTGCTAGCTTTCCAGCATCTTCCACTTTCTGAAAAGTTCTGCTTTTCTCATCAGGTTTCTAATCCTTTCTTTCTAGGTATACCATGAAACAAGCATCTTATCCTACCTAGCCCGTAGGACCCCAATTTTCAGAAAGGCCCAGAACTATAATAGGGGCCAAATTTTCAACAGAATTCAGATCCCATGTAGGCCTCTAGGCAAGTGGCCTGATTTTCAAAAGTTAGGCCACGGTTTTAGAAGTGTTCAGCATCCAGATAACCCCAATGCACCCAATGGAAGCAGGTAGATGAGTTCTTATGGAAATCTGTCCCAATTCTGGATGCCCAGATTTCCTGTTATCTCTGGATTTTATACCTGTATGATTCTAGTTCTAAATTCCATGCCCTTCCAGTCTAGCACAGACTCAGAGAAATTATGCCCAATGCGGTATGAATGAAATCTACTCCAATGACACGCTTCAAGATAAATTTATAGTTAATGATTGTCCAGCTGACTGCACAGAATAACATTCAGCACAAACTTTGTCCTATTTTTTTGTTGGTAAGTCTTTTGTGAACCAATTCTAATTGCTATGAATGTATTTATCGTTCACAAGTATTTGCCAATTAGTTTCTAGGAATAATTTTCTATCTGTCAATTGCAAGGCATTGGTAGCTATGGTTCTTTGTTGTTCATGTTGTAGGGCTGTCACCTTGGCTGTATGTTATTTTTTTCTGCTTTTTATTTGGACAACTAACTTTTTAAATAGCAGGAAAATGAACACTAATATTAACAGTGCAAAAATAAAGAATTCTAGTGTTATCAAATAAACAAACCATTGATATCAAAACTCAGAACATTCAGGATTACTGTTTTCACTGTACGCAGCGGTTGTTAAATACTAACAAATAATGAATACATTCTATAACAATGAATTAAATGTTACTTGTAGATAACTTTAAAATCATTGCTTGGCTACTCCTGTTTAAAGATTATTTTGATTTGTCAGCATGCATCCATTTTACCTTATATTTGCAAACACTAGACACTGCACAATACTAGAATGTCATGTTCTTTGAAGTGTCACAGCTCCTGCTTTGAATGATAGAAAACCTTATAAAGAAAACAAAGCTCGACAATAGTTGTAAGTATATGACTTACACTTGGTGGGTTGACTCATGCAGTATGCCCCAGGAGGGGACCTTCTACTGTCTGGGAACACTCTTCTGCCATGACTTGATGGAAAATTTTGGTAGAATTCTGTCCCATTGGAAGCAGAAGGTTCCTTTGTCAGGGCATCTCTTTCTCATACAAATAGTCCTGTATGGCCTCTGATAAGAATTTAGACCTATAACCTGGGCTCCTCCATCCCCTATACCCCCACCACAGGCCTCTGTACTGACACAGTTATTGGCTGCTGGTGTTATGGTTTCACAGCTAGAGAGCTAGTCTCAGTACCTTCCTGTTCGACTACCAGGGATTCCTAGAAGTACAACAATAAAGAAATCTGGGCAGGTGACCTGCCCCTCACTATCTGAAATCATCCCTCTCTGGTGGAAGATCTCCCCCTCTACTGCTTCTGGCATCCCTTTTGGGATGCTCCCAACCTATCAGCATTGGCCTCTGCTCCTTTGCTGTGACTTACTTCTCCTGTGTTAACAAGAACCACCAGAGGTAAACTAGGCTCAAGTGTTCCCCTTTTCCAAGATCTGCCCCACTTAAACTGACTTTCCCCTTTCTTTCTGTTCCTAGATATGGCCTCTTTCTCTAGAGGCTCCTGTTTCCCTGGGGGATCCTTTAAGGTGCCAGATCAGGGCTGTGCCAGCTGCCACAACCCTTGGAGCTTCTCCACTGCCCTTCCCCTAACCTGGGGGCAACAGGTAAGAAACAATTTCTTACCCTGGAGTGCCTCCACTGGATGGTGGGGCTAGCTTGCTCACTGCCCCACTCACACCGTCACCGCCATTCATCCCAGTACCCAAGAGGCGGCTTAGCTTTCAGGGGCTGAGAGAAAGAGGCAAGCAGGGAACTCCCCCTCTGAGATCCCCCCATTCTTCCACAAACATAGGCTAATGATACTTAACAGAAATAATCCTTGACTTGAACAAGGCTTCTGGAATCATGTTGCAGAAGAATATTGTTGTTATTAAATTATTATAATCACTAAATATTGTTAAACCATGTTGAGAGAGCATTTCCAAATAGAAGTCCGTAACATTTATACCCATTCTCGTCATTAAATCACAGCACTTAGTAATAATTTATTAGGAATTAATGATTTACTGCAAGGTAACCATTTATAACAGTGGTCCTCAATCTCTGGCCCTGTGGGCCAGATGAGTGGCACAAGGCAAGTCCACAGGCCAGATCCAGCCTTGGTTTGGGGTGCTGGGCCAGTCCACAAACTGGGTCAGGGCATGGGACTGGTCCACACATGAGATCTGGCTGTGGTCAGACCCCATAAGCCAGGGTCTCTACAGGTACAAGAATTTGGTTGCAGAGGAGCAATGACAGCGTTAATTGCTGAGACTCTGGAAGCACAGGATAGATAATATCTTATTGGTCAATACTAGTACCTGGATATTAAGGTTGTACAAAGGTTCGAGTGGCGATTCAGTTTGGAGGAGATTTGGCCCAATTGGGTGGCCAAATCTCCAAACCTAAATCTAAATCAGGGAACCAATTAAAAGGTCTGAATCAATTCAAAGCTCTCCAAATCTTCAGAAAAGATTTGGAGAGCTTTGATGATTCAGCCAGTCCCTAGTGGCTGCAGCAGGGAGCTGCAGCTGGATTCAGAGCTGGTAAGTATTAGGGGCAGGGAAGCGGGGGCTAGGGGAGGGGGAAAGGAACCATGTGGGACCCCTGCAAGCCCCTATCCCCTGCCTGCTCCCCAGCCTTCCCGTGGCTGCCCCACCTGCCCCAGCTCCCAGTGCTTTAAAAAAAAGTCCCCACACACCGGGTGCCAGACAGGGTGGTGATCCCCACTGGTACCACTGCTCCATGCTGCATGGGGGGTACATGAGCCGCCCGACCCCCCGCCATGTCTGCCCCACCTGGGCCAGCTCCAGTCCTTTAAGGAAAAAAAAAACAAAAACTGAGAAATGCCCCAGGACTCACCGGTCCTACAGTTTCATGGCTTTGGGGGGCTCATGGAAGAGCCCCCCCATTTGGGGCAGGGCAGCAGGAGTTGCCCCCTGCCAGCAGGAACAGTGAGTGCAGAGGTTCTCTCTCTTTTTTTCTTAAAGGGCTGGAACCACGGTGAGCGGAGCAGCCATGGGGAGGCTGGGGGAGCAGAGCTCATGCAAAGCCCCCCATACAGCATGGGGCAGTGGGGGGCAGCAGGGATCACCCCCCTGCCCCGCACAACAGCACCCACTGAGTCAGGGCTTTTTTTTTTCAAAGTGCCGGGAGCTGGGGCTGGTGGGGCAGTCGTTGCTGGACTGGGGGAGGATGGGCCTGGCTGATTTGGAGATTCAGCAATTCGGCAGCCACTGAATCTCTGAATCAATTCAGGCCAGTGATTCGAATCACTGTCCCCCGAATCGACCGAATCCGAATCTGAAGCAAATACTAGCTGCTTCACACAGGGCTGCT